ATATTTGGAAGAAAACAGAAATACTGAGGACCTGATTATTTATTATAACTATTAACTATTCATTTATGCTCCTCCTGATTTCTTTGAGGGACGGGGGCTTGGGATGTTTTTTTGTTGTCCTGTCAAGTCAAGCTATTGATATAACATTCAATAAATAAAGTGTTTTGAACATTAAACATGCCCAGGAAGATTTTGGAATGAGTGCTTTGTTTTATTCATTATGAGATATATGATGAGAGATTATGAGTGTGTGCTAAAAGGTTTGGTTTGGTGCTTAATATGTTGGTGGCCTTGTGTGGTTGTATTTGTCATACTATATCCTGCTGCGGTGAAACTGGATTTCACACAGGATATTGTGTTTCTCATCTTACTGTCTCTGCTTCAGAAATACATTGTGTATGCAATAATTATTCTTATGCATTAAACACACACACAGACTATTGATCTCACACGTACATGAAGTTCTTAATCAGAGATTCCCGTTTAATTTAACACTTGTATGGTGTTCCGGTTTGTGAGACCCATTTTCAGTTTTTTTCAAAAGAAAAATTAAACAATAAATTGTTTTTTCAACCCGAAATTCATTGGCTTTGGCTTATTTTTTGTGAAGAACATAAATCCGAACAAATTTTCAATGACCGCATACTGTACCTCCCCCCACGCATTTACATTACATATAATCTGTTCGGTTCCACTGGACCCAGGTCTATTAAAAGTGTTGAAAGTGTAGGTCCTGTGTTTCCACCCTCTGTCTTCCTCCTTTCTCATGTTGCTGATAGTGTTTTCTTCCCTTCCCGCTCCTGCACAAAGTTGCAACATTGTTGAAAATTCAACTACCAACTCTGTCTGCTCTTACATTCCCTTTTACCCTCTCTCTTGCGGGATCCAAATTTTATTTTCTCATACCCTGTCCCACCTGCAAATTAGGGGCATAATACTATAAATAAGACTTTGCCAGTGTGGTTCCTAATCACAACTGATCAAGATGGCCAAAAGATTATCTGCTGCACAGGCCTTGCAATTGATTTTGGAAGAGAGCGGAGCTTCTGATGATGATGTCGAGGAAGAGGTTTCAGAATATGAGGATCAAATTTTTGAAAATTCAGAGTCTGACAGTGACTTTGAAGAAGAGGATGAGGTTGAGCACCATTTAGTAACAAAACGAAGA